AAGTTTGCCATCTCCTTAACCACAGTAGGTTATGATTAAGCCTGACACCCAAATGCAGGATGCATGCTGGCTACTGTCACTACACAGCACATGGTCCACCCGTGATTTGTGACAATTTGGTTTATGGTTTTGAAGGATGGTGGAAATTAGCTCTCCCCTGCAGTGGAATAACACAGTTAGCCAGAGGCTGACAATCTGCTACATGGTGCCTTAAGGCTTGTAGGCTCACCCAAGTATTTTAACAGGTATCTTTACTTTTTTAAAATCAGAATTTTGATAGGCAAAAGCCAAGTAACAGCTGCCAACTTTATTTGGGTTTTCAGGTATATCTCTGGACCCCACAGAGGTCTCAGATGTTTTTTTATAGAAAACAAAAATAATATTGGTGGCTTGATTCAGGATAGTTAGACAACTTGGCCAGACAAAGCTAAGCTGGGGGCTGTCAAGTCAAGAACAGAGAGTCAGTGTGATGCAATAGCGAAAAGGTTGAACTAGGAGTATGGAGGTCTGGGTTGTATTCCACTCTCCACCATGGACAATAACTGGGTGATTTTGGGTCACTCATTCTCTCTTAGGCTATTGAACCCCACCGATGCTGTTCTGAGGGAAAATAGGAAGACGAACTGCTATTCAGGAGCTGTCTTGAGCTCCTGAATGAAAGGCAAATGCAAACCTAATTAACAAATAAGGACTCTGAGAGGAGAAACGAAGTGGTAAATCTCACTCGTTTGCTGTCTGGTCAGTTGTGTCTTGTGATGGGCTATGTATGCTATGGCAGTCTCTTTTTGAATGCACAACTACCACCCTGTCTTGGCAGTTGTTTTATGAAAGAGCATGCGACATCTCAAATTTCAAAGGTATCTATGGGACACTCCCACGCTACCCCACTTGTCAATGGATTGAAAAGGCTGTTGGTAATGGGAGGAGACTGAAGACATCAAACTGTTAGTTGCATGCTTATTGCTTTGTTATTTTTATGCTGAAGAGGTGGCTAATGGCTATGTATGGACCTCAGGATAAATTTAATATCCCATCCAGGTCCATTTACGTCTCTCTGCTTCTGTATTTTCCTGAACAGTGAACTACACTTAACTTTGGTTTCCCAATCAATGGATTGATTCTTCCTGCGTTCAAGTAAATCATACATAAGATTAATCACAAAGTGCCCATTTCAGGCAATGTGACAACCATAATTAGTCTAAAAGAAAAGTGGAAGCTATTGAATTTCTCCTCAGAACTTTCCCAGTTGAAGAGAGGAGAAGCACATAAATCTAATCAGGGGGGAGACTCATTTCCTATCTAAGACCTCCTGATATCTTCTGAGTATGTTGGATTGTAACCTCCAGAATTATCAACTGTGAGAATTTTGGGGTTTGTTGTCTCATACACCTGCAAGCTTTTGTAAACCAGAGTTTATTGTGAAGTCCAGAGGCAGGTAGCTCAAAATTATCCAGAGCCCCCCCATAACTAAATGAAAATCTTAGGAGGAACAGTTGGATAGCAAAAATCTGCTCAGCTAATGGCTGCTAGTCAATTGCTTTTGGATTCTAGTGATTTTCAAAAGAAGGTGGGCTAAACTAGATGCAGATCAACTTGGTTTTAACTCTATTTGGATCATGGTTGTACGCCGTAATACATTAGTATGTTAAGGATTCCTCATTTTAAAATAGTCTCACCCATTTCCTTATACATTTCATCCCTGCATGACGGTACATCATATGATGGTACCAGGGGTGGGATTCAACCGGTGTTACTACCGGTTTGATGACTACATGTGCCGTACAAAGCACTGAGGTTGAAAAAGCAGGAAATAAAGGTCAGGTAAGAACCCAGGTGGGTGGGCGGGCCAAACAGCAGCAAACACAGAACCGGTTTGGTGTCTGCTGCTCTTCAGAGCTACCGGCTCTATAGAACAGGGCAGAACCGGTAGCGTCCCACCCCTGGATGGTACATGATCATCTCTCTTAAAACTATTTTTTTTTAATCTGTTCATCTAAATGTACCAGAGTAAAAAAATTTTTAAAAAATTATAAAGAGGGGAGTTTCCAAATGAGACTGCCTCTTATTTTGTTTTACTTTGTTTTGTTTCATTGCTTTATTTTTTATTTTTTACTTTACTTTGTACTTTATTTTACATTACTTTCAAAAAAAAGAAGTGAAAATCGAAAGCTTTAAAGTAGAACATTCAACACATACACAAGCTAAGACTGGAAACAAAGAATCTGCTGTGGTCATACAAAAGGTAATTTGGGCCTTGCAGTCAAAACTTCTGAAATCTTTATGGGAGAGGGGATGGCAACGGAAAGGCTGAGTTACTTCTCTATGCATTTCTTCCACTCACAACTCTCTTTAGCAGCCTTTGCATTAGATACAAGCTACCTTAATGCTGGCCTTAAGCACAATGAATGCTGCTAACCTGAGCTCATTAACTCCTATATGGCATATTTAAGAGGATAGCATCCTGTGCTTTTAGACCAGTAGAGGGAGTTTGAAGACTTCATGGGGGTTGTGGAAGCATGAGGCTCAAAAGCTATTGTTACTCTTTGTCTGTGTATGACTGGATTAGCAACATCACCCTATTAGCCCTGCAAAGTAGTCCACCCAAGAAGCACAGTCAGGAGTATTAGCTTTGTCTCTATTGTAAGGTTACATTAACAGAATCTTGTCACACTGGAAGTATTTCTTCCCTCCTTTCCTTCAGAGACATATTTTATATGTCAGTTGTTCAATCTGTGGCTCTCCATTCTGTCTCCCAAAGTGGTTCCCACATAACTATCACGACCCCCTGGTCAGAACTGTCTGTATTCCTAGGTAGGTCTAGGAAGAGTCTCACTGTTTCTAGGCCATCTGTGATACCTAAAGCTGCAGAGTGACAATCTGCTATTCTCAAGGTTAGTTTGTTAATTCTCTGAGGAAGATGTGACATCAGATGAGATCAGAGTTAGGCTCAAAATGATTAGAAGAGAGGAATTTGCATACGGTTGCTGAAGCAAATCCTGCTAAAAATGGGCAATCACTCATTGCTTCTGCCTACATCTTTTTCAGAGCATTTCCTATCATGTTGACTCTGTGAAAAAATAGAATCTAATTTCTTACATGTCCACAAACTATTCTATCCATCTGCTAGTTCTGTTTCAAAGCCTGGGAAAATGAAAAAGTCATGATGACATCTATTCAGAGTTGATGTTGGTTGACCTCTGGGGAAGCAATGGCCTATTGAAGATGGCTCCACTACAAAACTGATAATCACAGCAGAATAAAGTCTTGGGAGAATTAGTGCCTCAGAATTCTTTTCTGGACAAAGGGAAGGACCTGGGATCACCTACAAGCATTCCACACAGAGGGTCTCTGCAAGGAGATCATAAAACGATGGTCTCCAGTGGGTTTTAGAGCTCTGGGAGCCAAGCAAAAGTCACATTTGCAGTACAGAGCCTTCAAACAAACATTGGGTTTGCCCACTTCCTTTTTTAATTACTTCAGGAAATGTTTTTTTGGAAGTTAAGAACCTTCAGGACAACAAGTTTGATCACACTGGATGATTTTTCTTCAATCCTCTGTGAAAGAGGTTTTATGTAAATTTAAGAACTTAAAAAAATAAACAGCAAAAGGTTATTAGAATGTTGACTATGGAAATTTATTAGCAGACTAAGAAGCTAGATAGGTTGGAAATAAGATTTTGAAATTAATTATATGAATCCTTTTTGTGACTTATTCAAAACCCTATTTAAAACAAATGAAGATTTTGAATCTAAGTGTAAGACATTTTCCCGTGAGAAAATGTTGTGGATTAGAAAAAAACATGATGAGAGATTTTGAAGATTGGGCATTAGAGCCAACCAGAAAGAACTGAAGATTATAATTAAAGGAGAAGAGATGATACAGAATGGAGGAAAGTATTTTAACTTTGGAAAAATTCAAGGATATTTTGTAATGACAAGTTACAAGAATAATATGGAAAAGGATGTTACACTTAATCAAATGAAACTGTCTGATATCTTAATAATTAAAAGGGACACACAAATAATAAACCAAAAGAGTGACTTGAACAATTTTCTTACCTTGGACTTAGAAAACAGATGTGTTATGAAGGTGTTATAAGGAGAAAAGAGAAAATGCTAAGAAACAGCTTTTGAGCCACTATTTAAAGGGGTTAAACATCAAGATTTAAAAACAAACAAACAAGAAGAAATGTAACATGGCTTATTTGATCAAGATTTATGTATGTATGTATATATGTATGTATGTATGTATGTAGTTTTTTTCTAGTCATTTTTAATGAGTCATCCTAAACCAAGACAGTGATGAGGCTTTAAAGATTTGTCTTAAGATATGGGAAGAATATATTTTTATTGTATTAGAAAAAAATGGTAGCTATGGTGTTAAAAGTAAAATAAAGGGTTACAAAGTTGGTTTATTTGATTAGGATTAAAATATAGGTGTTATTTCTAATCCATGCTGAATTCGTGAAGGATTTTCTGAGAGGAAAAAGAGAAAATGATAAATACATTTACAGCACACTTCAAATAATGTGCTCTTCAGAGATTAAAGATTAAGATTCTTTATATGTTGTTTCTGTTGTTTCTTAATAGATTTTTTACTGGATCTGAATGTTGATAGATAAAAGACATGAGAAAAAGACTTACTGCATTTTTAGAGGCAATAAGTTACATTAAAAGGAAACTAAATATGAAACTGATTTATTTGATTTAGATTAAAACATAAGCTGTTCTTTCTAGTAATTCTGAATGGACTTTTGCTGATTAGGACTGAATGACAAGACTAGTTTAAATTTTAATAAAAATTATTATAAAAAAAAGAGTCGAAGCTGGATGTTGCCTTCCTGAAAAGCAAAACTAAGTTTTGCCATAGAGTATCTAGAATGAAGTTAATTTTCTTGAAGATGCTACTATCTGCATATGTTTTCTCTCCTGGTCAAATGGTCCAATAAGTCATTGCAGCTCCTTTCATGGACATCTTCTAGCATTTTCTTTTCCTTCCAGGGATCGAGGATCTTGTCCTGGCAGACATCAGTTCCCCCAGTCGGACTCAGACGGGAGACAGTAGCAGCATCTCATCCTTCAGTTATCGTGAAATCATGAAGGAGGGATCCGTGGCTGGTAGTAACAAGGTGAGGGATACAGAGGTAGAAATCAGAAGCCCGGATTTCTAAGCCAGAGTTCTCCAACCTTGGCAACTTTAAGACTTGTGGACTTCAACTGCCGGAATTCTGGGAGTTGAAGTCCACAAGTCTTAAAGTTGTCAAGGTTGGAGACCTTGTTCTAGGCCAAAGAAACCAGGGCTCTTGAATGATGAAGCTTTGCTTCGTGTGGGGATGAGTCTCATTCCCATAAAATAATTTTCTGTTTCCCAACAGAAAATAACAGCATTTCCTGAAATGGCCCTTTCTGTCTAGTTTTTTCCTTTTCTCCGTGAAGGGCAAGTGAGTTTTTCCCCCCCTCGTTCCTGCTCTGCATCATTTCTTGCATCGGTGAAGCATGAGGTTGTAATTCACCCAAGCAAGTTTCATTTGACGCCGCAGTATTAGGGTTGCAGTCTTCAAGTTTTGGGGAGATTTTTTTTCTTTCTTTTTTTTCTTCTTTTCTTTTTCTGGGATTCCAAGGTCAGCCAGCTGCAGCCAGATGGGAAATGCTGGCACGAGTGGACAAACACAGCCTAAATATTTAAGGAATAGGATGGTTTGAGTATATCCTTGCTTCAGGAGTCTGTGATCCCTATCAGAATAACAAACTCACCTGTTTTTCAAATCTGTTCTTGTGTAATCTAATGCTTTCACAGATGTTTAGAGTAATTCACACTTGTTGTTTAATTACTGATACTCATAATTTGTATTGTCTGCCAAAACCTTTGCTAACAGTAAATCAAAACACAACTTTACTGAAACATTATGTCAGTGCAAGGAAGTTAATGAAGCCTGAATAAAAAAAAAGCAGGAAGGAGGCTGATGGAAGGATTCCTAGTTCCCTACTCATGTTTGACTCATTTTGTTAAGCTGGCTGTATCGTGAATCAGAACCTAAATGTGTGTAGCAAATATATGGAATTAATATTTTTTAAACATAGTGGAGGAATTCTAAGATTGCAAATAGATTTGGAAGCTGGGAAATCTTGGCCCTTTATAATTAAAGTTACATTAACAGTTAAGAACAATAGGTTAAATTATAATAGCCTATCTTTAAACATTTTCTAAAGCACATGACCTTACAAAGTAAAATCAGCCAAAGAATAACTAAAGCAATAAGAGGAAATAAAATATGTGAAAATATTAAAAACGTCAACAGGAGTCAGACATTATTAAAAGCCTATTTTTGTCTGGCAGCGCAGATAAAATTATGAAGATGGCCCCACCCCGCTTGTACCTACAAGTGAGGGAGGGCATTCCAGGAGCTACCACTGAAAAGGCCAAATCGCCTTCATTGCACCACAGGGTGGAAGGACAGCCAGAACCGCCTCTCCAAGAAAGAATGTTAGGGTACAAATAGAAATAAGTGCGATGAAGGGTTCCTTCAGAGACTGCAGATCCAAGGGTGAAGCCCTTGATAGATTAAGCAGCACTCTGACTTGGGAGCAGAAACTAATTGGAAGCCACTCCATAAAGTACAAGCATAGTATGTTCATATTGCCCAGTTTCACTCAGTAATCTTCTGCCAGCATTTTCTTCTAATTGAAATGTCTCGAATGTCATTAAGGGCAACCCAATGTATAATGCATTGCCCTAATTAAATGAGAAGTTACCAGGGCATGAATTCCTGTGATGAGAGTGTCTTTATCAGATTGAACCATAGCGAGAGAAAGATGCTTCAGTCAAGAAGCTCTCCAGAGCTATGACCCTGAAACTTTTAAGATGAGGGCAACTCCATTCAGAATAGGTACAACTTTATTCACCGGACAGGCAAAGCATCTCTTCTGGATTGAATTTTGGATTATTGGTAATGACCCAGTCCATTACCCCATCATAGGCCTTGGTTCAGCAGTTCCACTACCTCACTCACCTACATCCAATTTATTTCACTGACTGCAACCAGTATAACTTTTGAGTCCCCCATGCACTTACTAGTGAATTTATTTTTTGTTATCATCTGGAAAAATTAGACAAATGATGTTTAATGATGTTTTCCCAAAGGTGTGCATAACATCTCCATGAGGAAAATGTACTGTATGTTCTTATCTCTTTAGCTTTAAGATCGCAACCTTTTTCAATTGGCAGCTTCTAGTCATGATAAATTACAACTTCCATAATTAATTCCCAGTTACTTTGCCACTTGAGGAACTGCTTTCAAATGCTTTAAATGGAAAAGAATAGTTGGTAGTAAGAGCCAGATGTAAAATATTTTTTATATACAGCACAGATGTCTATGATTGTATAAAGAGGAAACATGAGATAAATGATTTGCCTGGTTGGTGGAAATTGAGTTCTTCTGCAAATGAACTGAATTGCGCCTGTAGTAAAAGGCCTGAATGTCAGGAAGTGATACATCTGCCTTTTACCTTTTCTACCTGCAGTCAACCACAGGAAGCCCACAGTCACAGTCGCAACCTCCACGGCCAGCCGACCTTTCAGATGAGGAGATCTCAGAACTGTTCCAGCGGCTGGCTGAAGTTCAGCAGGAGAAGTGGCTACTGGAGGAGAAGGTATAAAACCACCTGGGTTTTAGGTTTGGATTTTGTGAGACCCTGGGCTAGTCAGTATTTCCTGGACTTTCCACAGTATAGACCCCCTAGTTTGGAAGCAGGCACACAGTGGCCTTGGCCTGCCTTCCCAAGGGCCCATGTAGGAGTCCACCAACTTTGCTTCTAATCCTGATAGTGTTGCCTGATCTTGACTTTTGGGGTTGTGGCTGGGGAGCTGATTCTGAAAGACAGATACCAATTCTGAACTTTTGGGGGAATCAGCCAGAAACACAGACAAACTCTGTGAGGTCTGGGATAAAGTGAGCAGGTTGGAAAAAAAGATTGGTCTGCCCCATTTAAGAGACATTGCTTGAAACTAGATGATTCCCAGGTCTAAGAATAGCATTGGCCTTGTGGGAAGCAGGCTTGGCAGTAACAAATAATGCAATCTTTCTCGGTTAGGTGAAGCACCTTGAAGTCAGTAGTGCCTCCATGGCTGAGGACCTATGCCGGAAGAGTGCCATTATTGAGACCTATGTGATGGACAGCCGCATTGGTGAGAACTGTAGTCTTCAGGAGGAAGCAACCAGAAAGTTGAGGTTGCAGGGAAAAAACAGGGGAATGAAGGCTGAAAGCAGAGGTGATGTTGCCTGTCTAATGTCAGTCTGGCTGAGCTTCGGTGAAGGTCTTCTTGTTCCATTTTTGGATTGCATCATGATGTGAAATGAGAGCTTGGCATCTCACAACTGTCTGTGGTGTATTTTCTAAAAATGGTTAAGATTCACAAGAAATTAGAAAGTGAATGTTAGCAGAATTAAACGGTAAGGAAGAAAGAGTCCGCTCCCAAGGGATTAAATGGACCAAGCATAGTTCTACTCTTTATCTCTTGGGCACAGAACTGATGGGAGATAAAAACATTAAAACACTGAAATTCAAAATAAAAATGCAGGATCATCAAGAATACCTCATCCCTCCACTTTCTCTCCAGTTGATTAAGCAAGAATCTGCCAGGTTTAAATTAAAAAAGATTATGACTGCAGAGGAAAAAAAATATGGAATTGAGTGTATAATGTTGGATAAATCTGGGTGAAGAAAAAGGGACCTTGGACCTCAACTGTGCTCTCTTCACCTAGTATATTTTCTTTTGCCAGTATCCACGTTTATTGAAAGAGATTTCTAGAATCAGTGCTTGAGTACTAGTACCAGAAAAGAGTCCATGCCCAATGATTTTTATTTCTGAGTAATCCAGGAGAGGTGGAAAGAAACCTGTAGACTCAAGAAGACAATAAATGATTCAGGTTGTTTAATTTATCTGATGTTGCTTCCATGCCAGACTTGGCCCACAAAAGGGATTTTTTCCCCTGTGTCTTAATGTGTACTTGATGATACCAGGTGGTTAGGGACCTTTTTTTTTGCAGCAGTGACAAGGTCTGCAGCATCTGCTATCGAAGCATATTAGTTCATCATCAAAGTCCCAGACAAAGGGAAGAGGCAAGGAGCTGCTCCCACTCAACCATCCTGCAGTATAAAGGGAAAAACACACTCAGGTGTTTTAACACTTCCTTTGTTTGTTTGTTTGTTTATTTGTTTGTTTGCATGGCCTGGCTGTAGCTTGATATCCCAATAGCACTTGGTGGTTCCAAGACACATATTTAGCTAAGTCTTTAACCCATTGTTTCCTTTGACCTTCTTCAGGAAGCTCTAAGTTTTCAAAGCATTTGATGATGGGGAAAAGAAGCTGCTTGGGAGACAGGGGACGTATCCTGCTCATCTGTATGCTAGGCTTCAGAGGGTTAGAACCCACAGGTTTTATATGTTTTTAAAATCTCTAACCTTCTAATGGCAAACTTGGAAGAATAGTCCGTTTTTGAAGCTTAGAACTTCCCTAGGAAATGACGTCCAGTAGCTACGTCTTTCATACAACAACTCTTTGTTCCACAATCTTTTGGAAAGTGAGTGATGAAATTTTGCAAGTTTGATCACTGGGCCAGATTGCCTGGAGACCCTTATATGAATAGGGCTGGATAAATCTGCTTAATTTCTGCTGCCCTCTCATATCACAGGCTTCTTTGAAAAAATATTCTTGTTTGGCATTCAAATATGTAGCTTAGATTGGCATGTGGTTGATATTATAATGCAAGAGGGAACCTGTTGCCCGCATACTGTGTAGAGAATGTTTAGGGAGGCCACTCTCTCAAAGCTTTCTGCTGGGTTGAATAAGCTCTTTCTGATAGTTGTGTAGTGTTATTGATGTAGAGACTTCTATTGGTTCTTGTGATGTGTTTTTCAGGATACGGGATTTTGGTTTCTGAAGCATTTGGGTTGATGTTACTTTCATTTATGATTCTGATGAGGCCGGATGAGAAAAGTACACGTTTTGGAATGAGTGTCGCATGGCTGATGTAGGATCTGCATTCATATGGAAAACATCATGTAGACATAATCACCCATTTGTATGCAAACACCTTGACTTATTGAGAAGCAGCTCCATAGAGGAATCTACCTCTCTTTTTACGAAGTTGCAGGTATTTCCCAGACTTCGTTTGCTTCTCTTCCATCTACTCGAGTTTTCCTTTCTGGAACACTAAGGTTTGAACAGATGTAAGGGTGATCGATGATCTTGAATGATCATCAGGAAGCAGTGGGCACTTTGATCTTCAATAGATGCTTGGCTTTCAACAGATCTCTGCTATTGTGAGAGACTGACAAGTCCCATTTCCTAACCAAAGTAAATCCATCCTGCTGAATAGTCCTCCTTCCTTTTCTTAACCTGTCAATTCTGTGCTGTCACTCAAAATCACACAAACCTTGCCGGCAGGATTAGAAGCTGCTTTTAACTCTTTTTTTTTTCCAAGTTAAAGCAAATACTCTCAATTCATTAAATTTACTTTCAGTTCATGCCATATGTCACACACTTGGGTGGGTACAATTACAACATACTTGACTTGAATCAATGGACTGTCCAAAATGGACTGCTCTATCTTTTTAACAAAATAGGGATTTTACAGGTTCAGAAACTGAAGAATTCAGGATTAGCGGCCATAATGCTTCCAGCATCAAGTCGGTGAGGAGGAGCACCTAAGCTGTTTACGAGGTTAAGAGGATGCCATTTTAAACATATTTTTCTTCCTGTCAAGAATGAAACAGCCAGGGAAGGAAATGTGTGTTTGTGTGTGGCAGGGGAAAGAGGAGGGGGAGTGCTCACTAAGATAGTTTTTAGAGTTACCTTGGTTTGTGGTTAGTGTTGTGCTCCGAAGGAAACTCTTTCCTGCCCAAGAATGACCCATGAAAATGGATGTGAAGTCAGCAGCCAGCGTTTGAAAAATGCTAGATTCCGCAAATCATTCAGGAAATCATTTGGGAGACTGAGTCACAAACCCAACGTGCTGTTCCGACAGCTTGCTTTCCCAGTGCTCCCCCTGCTGGCTGTGCCCCGCAGTTTTCCCCAGCCCAGTCCCACAAGGGACTAATTGTCCGTTGCCTCTGCCGGCCCCTCCTCTACAGGCTCCACTGCCCTTAGAGCATCTCTGTCACGTAGGATCTGGCTGCTGTTCCGCTGGTGGATCAGAACTGCAAAGGAGCAGACAGGTTGCAAGGGGTGGGGGGTGTGGGGGGTGTGGGATCATAAGGAAGAAGGGGTGTCTTAGAAAAAGTCTGCCTGCTGAGGTGAAGAGCTGTGCAGCCACATCGTCAAGTGATGGGTGGTGGTGGGGGCGTCCTTTGGGCACGTGTTTTGTACATCCACATTGAACTGTGCTATGGGCACGAAACAGAAGTCAGCTATAAATAGCTTGTGCAGGGTCGCCTTTGCCTCAGCTTTGCAATATACAACTCAGCCAGTGAATATTTCATGAATGCTAAAAATACAAACCACCACCACCTCCTCCTCCTCCTCCTCCTCCTGCATCTCAGGCTGTTTCCTTTTTGCATGAACGGGCGGTCATTTGCAGCCTGATTTGCCCTCCAAATCTTTGTAATTGAATCTAGCTCCATATTCTAATCACTTGATTCCAAGGGCCCCAGATACTTCACAGAGTATTTTGGGTTTTTTTTGGTCTTGTCTTAAAATGCAACGACTGCGACTTCTGTAACACTTTCGGATCTTTGCCCAAATGTGTTGTGCCAAAGTGAGGAAATAATGGACAGATCTTGTAGATTGAAACCCAATGCCAGCAAGAGGAAAGGAAAACTTGTGGCTGTGTAAGGGCACAGTAGTCTAATGGCAGCAATCTATCTCCTTATTGCCTAAGTCCATTAGATCTTATCCTGTCCTCTTAGACTATAGCGTTCAAACTGTGCTGTTTTTCGTTAAGGTCACAATAAAGTGAGTGAAAATTTGACAGAAGAGGGGGTTTGAACCAAAATGCTTCTAAAGAACATTTTAGGAAGTCCTGCTAGTAGGCTTCCTAACACACTGGCAGAACTTTTAAGAATCACGGCGTATTCCAGAGCAGGATGGCAAATTATGGATATTTTCTTACCCTTTCATTGAATGCTCATGAGCATGGCCCACAAAAGGGACTACCGGTTGCCAAATTGGGCATTTTAAGAAATGCGATTTTCCTTTTCTGAAAACGAAGGCACGCTCCTAGCTACTAACGGCCACTAAATTTGATGAGCTGCGAGGACAAAGTAGAATGAAAGTGTAACTTTTGTGGTTGCTGTTGTTAAAGTAGGGATCCTTGTGTACGTGCAGAATAAGAAACTCAAAAGAGGAGTGTATCGTTTCTGTGGATTTCAGAATTCAGCTTTTGCAGAATCAAATGCTAATTTTTAAACAGTGGGTGCTTGCTCCTGTTAAATGGCAACATGTGGATTGTAACTTGCATTGATGATTGTTACCCAGTGAACAAAGGGAAGAGCAGAAAGTGTGATGGGCACTAAGCTGAGTCAGGAGAGTTGATTTGATAAGGGAGCTAGATTCAAACCTAGGATTCATGGCCACCATCTCTTCTGTGAGGCTTTGTGCGTATATATGGCAACACTTACTAGCATAGCCAAGGGACAGGAAGGATTTTGGTACTGAGAGACAGCCGGATTGATGAAGGCTGAAAGGGAGAACAGGCAGAATTGATCTAGATGTCAGGGTTGCTTTAGTCCAGCATCAGTCTTGGAAATCAAGGCAGCAAATTATATTCAACAGCCTTGGGAGGGAGAGCGCAACCTGCAGGCCTTTCCCCACTGGTCTTGGGAAAAAGGAAACAGGGACACCAATGCTCAGTCTCCACCACTTTCTACATTTTAGGGAAGCTGATGTGAAAATGTCCTTCCAAGTAAGTTCCCTCCGTTTGGAAAGCTGGAAAGGTTGGATAGTTGGGGTTTCGAAAGAACAACCCACTATGGATTTATGAAATCAGCTCCGATCAGGACAAACACGGTCAAGAATGAAGCTAGGCAACCAAGTTAGCCTGGCATCTGGCAGGACATTGGTGGAGAATGGCAGGCAAATTCGAGGTTGTGGTTTCTTCAGATGAAATAGTGATTATCAACGTATCTCTGCACTGGCTGCTTGACCAAGTGGCAACCTTAAAAGGCTTAATTTTATTTGGATGTTCCTTGAAACTGGAGCTGTTCCCCAATATATGGGGCCTGGGTTTGGTCAAAATGCTTTGACTTGAACTCTTGTTTTGAGAAGAGCAAGTTCTACAGCAAAGTGCTCAAGAGCCTTATATCTTGTTGTACTCCAGGCACATTTGTCATTGTTTCCTCATCCTTATCTCTGCAACCCCATGATCCAAACAATAGGCTATACTGTCACAGAGCCATACAGACTTCCCTTTTGTTGGAGTTATCTGTCTCTTAGCTCTGGAAAGCAGTGAAACTGCAAGCAAATGTGTTAGCTCCCTCTGTCCTGCACCCAATTTAATTCCTGTGCCCCCTTTTTTCATGCTAGTTTCTTAGAGCAGGACGGAGGTTGGCCTACTGCTGTTATTTCTTTCCTGCTGCTTTGCTAATTTCATGGTTGAACAACTTTCAGCTTTCCTACATAGAAAAGACCCCCACATTCATGTCAGATCCCTGATGAGATTAGATCCGGCCCAAACTCCAGGAAGGAGAGCTGTGAGTAATGGTTAGAGGCACAGGGAGGTGGTGACTGGAGGATAAGTGCGAGTTCCAGAAGGGAGAATTGAAAGGTGGATATCACAGTTGTTGCTGTTTTATTTACTATTACAGCATTTAATATTGGAAGTGGGGAAGTCAGGTGGATTCCACAGTATTGCTGGCCCCCTGCTTGCAAGTTCTCCGTTTTGGCTGCATTTCGAACAGTAAATAGGACTGAGAATAAAGTTGAAAAACTTTACAGTGCTGCTTCTTTCCTTCACTCATTCTCACTTAAACTAAGAGTAATTTTTCGTGACCTCACTCTGAATTGGCTCCCTAACATCATCCTAGGATCAACTCTCAATTGGCCGTGGAATTAAATGGTACTACTCAAGCAGATTTTATTTGCTTCTCATAATTCTGATCCTCCCCTTTTGGAACGTGGAAACTCATTCTCAATAGAGTCCTGTCAGTCTTGCGAGGTAGTCCAGACAAGAAACACAACTAGGAGTACTAGCTCTTATCTTTGCTCCAAGGTTACATTAACAAAACCTTGCAAGTCTAAAAGTCTCGCCGCCGCCGCCACCTTTTCCTCACTTTGATTCTCCTGAAAACTAGGGTGGGTCCCCTATGAGCCACTTTTGCTACCATTCCTCCTTCAGACTCAAATTTCATTTATCAGACCATTGTCTAGGCAGTTGCACTTCCTCCTGCCTTGCAAGGTCATTCCCGCATACTATTACGAGTTCAGAGGAATAAAAGAACTATAAAAACCGATCCATTTAGTTCAGAAGCTTGGGGGAAAAGAACCAACCATTTGTCGGTCATCTATCTTCCTCCCTTCAAAGGTCATTTAAAATAAACCTCTGGTTAGACGCTTCTGAAAGGTCACCAAGGGAAGAGCTCCTGTGGATAAGTGGGGGAGTCTTCCCCAATTTGGTACCCTCTGGATGTGATGGACATTGATTCGCAAGTTTTCCGTTATCCAACACTTCTAAAAATCACCAAATTGGGAAAGGCTGCCCTGCCCAGCGGGTGGAGACAAATTTAATATTTTATGAAAAGGGAATCCAGAGCAGAATTTTAAAGATGTAAATGTAAACTCGTTCCCATAGCATTTTTAGGCTGGTTTCTCCTGGGGATGACAGACTTCTTAGTCATGATCTCCTTCATTCTAAGGAGTGTTCTTCCACAAAATCACTTTTCAAGAGAAAAAAACCTGCTGTTACAGGGAAAGTAATGTAGTTATTCATAGGAAGGATAACCCGATACGTGACTTCTGTTTTTCCTCTTCAAATGGTGTGGCCCAGATGCTCGGTTTCCACTGCAGCCATAATTTCATTTACACATTCATTTGTAACTTCTTCGTCACTGCTTTTTTTTTCTCTCTCTCTCTCTCTCCCTGCCCTTTTTCCCTTTGACAGATGTGTCTGGGGCTCATGGGCAGGTTGATCGAAGTAGCCTAAGTAGTGTCCTGCGAGATCTGGTGAAGCCAGGAGATGAGAACCTGCGTGAGATGAACAAGAAACTACAGAATATGCTGGAGGAGCAGCTTACCAAAAACATGCACTTACAGAAGGTGTGTAAGTGGACCCCCGAGAAAAGGCTTTTGGGGGGGGGTGTGAAACGGGAACTGGGCAGAGTCAGCCAGTGAACTGCAAGGGGAGGAAGAGTGCAGGGATTCTGCCTAGGAGGACCAAGCAAAAGGCATAAAGCGACAGGAACCCTGGACTTTCAGAGTATGAAATGGAAATGGCCATTTATGCAGGATATTTTATCTCACTTACCTGGACGATGCAAACGTGGTGCTTATGAATGCGGATTGTGATGCAAACAAGCAAAGAAAAACCTCAGTCAGTAAAACAAGCAACATCACTAAGAGCAGACTCCATAGTCCAATAGAAGCAAATGGTGAATCAAGGCCATGCTGTAGCCACAACAAGCCAACATTTTGGGTGAATGAATAGACAGGTTTTATTTACCAAGACTGGAATCAAATGCTGGGCTGCGCTCTGCAAGGAAGGCATGTTCTAAGTGGCTTTCCACAGCCAAGAACGCCTTCTCTCATATCTCTGTATAATGTTTTCTTCCCAAAGGGGAGATGTTGGAGAAGAGCTCCCTGGGAACTTATCATTCCAACTTATTCACTTGGAAAACCTCAGGATTTGGGGTGGGAATGCTAGAGCAACGGGTGTATTTTCCCTAAACAACAATGTTCTACATTAAACACATGGTGCTTTTCTATGGCAAGGCAAAGATGGATTAGTTCCTTGGCCATTCAAGGGTACCCTGGGGACCGCACTCCAAAATATTATGGTTGAGGCTAGGATAGAAACTAACCTTGGATTTTATTTCACTTTAACTATATTCAAATGTGGGTAAAATTAAAAATAATTCATACGACTGCTTTCCAATCGTGTATTTAACCATTTTCTTATTTATTAAAAATGATCACTTGGGGTACATTTGTGGAGGTCCCCGGGGATCTCATTCACAGCTTTCAGGCATTTATATATCATGCCGGGGCCTCGGACAGTGCACGAGTCTTTCCCAGGATGGTGCTGTCAGCCTGTGCAAACCCTTGCTATTTGCCCATGCTGGCTAAAGCCTGTAGGAGTTTTAAAGCGAAAGGTTGAAGGGTATTGGGTGGCGTAATTCTGGCATTTGAACAGGCTGGCATGGAGTTCTGGGAATGCTAGTTTGAAGATGTCTGGAAGTCACCATGGTAAGGAAGAAAAGGCTGCCCCAGGAGGAAAGCAAAATGGCATTGCTAAGTAACCAAAACACGGGTAGTGGCAGTGGGGGGATTATTTGGAATAATTACTTTGGAATAAAAAGTGTGAGCTAAGACACTCCTATGTGCCTTTGGTTGGGATCCGCATGGTTACCATCAGAAGGAGACAATGCTTTTGATCGCAAAGGTCTCCTGTAAACAGAAGTCTCTATTGCTAGTGTCAGCTTACCTAGAGGAAGGCCTGATCCTCGCCTGCTCAGTTTTATAAGTACCTGTCATTTTGCATTTCAGCTAGATTATTGCAATCCTAAACTATGATGCCCAGTGCCAACATCCATAATTGAAAAATATTCTGAAGTTGTTCTATAGATAATCAATGGAATCCCTCCCTTAGAGCTATGATGATTGTATTATTATTATAATTTTGTGTGTGTCTGCCCTTGAATTAGTCTTGAACTACCCTGTGCAGTTTTCTTGGTGACATTTTCAGAAATAGTTTGCCTTTGCTTTTTTATCCTAGGCTAAAAGAGAGAGTGACAGGCCCTAAGTCATCCGGGTGGCTTTGTGGCTAAGGCAGAACTAAAACTCTTCATGTTTCTAGCCTGTACCTTAACCACTACATCATACTGGCTTTCACTATTGCTAATACTGCAACTATTTTCTGCTCTTCCTGATTAAAAGAAATGCTCTATACATTCAGAAAAACAGAATTGCCAAACCAAAAAAATAAAGTTGGCAACCCAAATGATCAGGAGCAGTGGTGGGATTCAAAATTTTTTTTACTACCGGTTCTGTGGGAGTGGCTTGGTGGGCGTGGCAGGGGAAGGATACTGTAAAATCTCCAGTCAGAGGTGGGATTTGGCAGTTCTCCGAACTACTCAAAATGTCCGCTAGCAGCTCTCCAGAACTGGTCAGAACCTGCTGAATGCCACCTCTGATCAGGAGCAGCTCCTCGTAAACAAAATACAGAAGCGGCTGGAGAAAACAAAGGGGACCCAGCGGCCTATATTCAAGGCACAGCTACAATCTAGACATGCTGAAGGAAGCCACAGCAGCCTTTGCCAAACATAAATTCCCACCTGATATTGGATGATAGCTGCCATGATTCCTGCAACAATAGGAATTCTGATCCAGCACTATGAAGAAATCCATGGTTGGGAAAGGGGTTAAGACCAGCAACCAGAGAGGGAAAATTACTTGTTATATGAGGTATAGGGCTTGTTGGACAAATCCTCCGCAGCCTGTAACTGTTGAAAAATGAGGCTTTAGGAAGAGTTCTTATGGAAGGAACAGGCTGCTGTGGTAAGTGAATAGGAACAGAGAGGCTCTTTGCTGGCTGGCTCCCGAGTTTGTGTGTTCTTCACCCTGAGCAAGTGTGTACACACAGCTGCTGTAGCAGCCTGGCCATTTATCTTGTTTCTCAAGCTGCAGATCAAGGTGACTGATGAGGAAGAGAGGCAGGAAGAGCCCAGCTTTGGCACCAAAGGGAAGCTAAGGGAGTAGCAAATTTCCTCCTGCCTGAACACTGTGGTGACCTTGAAGGAAGAATTCTTATCTTCATATCCATAATCTGCATTTTCTCCAGCCTTCCTTCTCTCGGTGTCACAGATGGGCAACCATCCACATTCAGAGACAAGATCCTGGGTGATGCAGTTGCCTTTGGGAAGAGTAGCTTAAGGGGGTTGGGGGTGGGATTTGGATCTTGGAAATATGTCTGGGGTTGCAGGAGAGATATCTGCATTCTGGCCATAGTGGTGATGGTACAGCAGGCATGTTACTTCCTGGCTGTTTGTCATTTAACACCCACTGCTGGGCTAGGCCCAGAGTGCTCAGCCATTTTGTTTTGTTTGTTTTCCAGTGATACAAGTGGTCTAATGCTGGGTTTTCAGATAGATAGGCAAGAGTCTGGGTAGAATTGCACTCAGATCCCTTTGGAGTGTGCTTTGAGCTCCTCCCTCCCCCCCAAAAAGTGACAAGAAAAATCCCTTAACACACGACCCGCATACAATATTTATGCAGTTTGTCAAACTTACAGAGAAAGACGTTTCAAAGAACTAGATAAGATTTATGCAAGGTGGTTCTTTGAGAGCATTCCTCTTAGCCATGGCATCTCAAAGGATACTCCATATTCAAAAGGAGTATACTTCTGAATATCAGCTTATCTAGGATCAGATGGCAGGGGAAATCAATTGCTCTTTTCTCTGTGCCTTAGAGAACTTCCTTGTTTCCAATAGCTAGAAACAGATTGCTGGGTTAGATAGGCGTCTATCTCATCTAGCAAGGTGAGTCTTCTCTTGCCTGCTTTTATCACGAAAGCACATGCTGAGGTAAGAGAAAGAGAGCCCGCCCCAGCGAAAGACTTTGCAGCATATTGGGGGGGTTCGCCCCCCCCCCTTCAGCACGAGCTTGATGTAGAATCTGATCTTCCCAATGTCCTAATGGAACAAGGGGACGAAAGAATGATGTCAGCGGAAAGAAGAGGCTATTTATAGCCGTATGTCTGAATGGGGAGGGGAGTGAGCATCCTCAGAGGACAGGTTGTTTCAAGGTTGGGGCTTTGGTGGAGCAGTCAGTGTGGGGCAGAAGAAGGATGCTATCTTGGCACCGTCCGTGAGGATCAAGATGCTAGTCTGGGAGGAAGTCTTCAGATAAGCCAGCCACACAGTGGCTAGCTGCACTGAGTAGGGAGGAAAAGATAAGGTGCTACATGGCAGAAGTAGTAGTGTGGCAATCCCAGTGATGGACTCTAGGGGGCACTGTGCACTTGGGAAAGAAGCTGTGGGCAGGTAAGAGTGGATGGTAGAAGAGGCCAGCTAGGCTAGGGCATGAAGGCCGGTTCTAGCTCTCCTGGTGTCCAACACTCTGCGAGAGAGAATGCGATCTGAAATGCATCGAATCCAGGTTTCTGAGCCGCAGGGCTAAAAAGGGGAAGAAAGTCTTGTTTTCAGGGACTTTTAAGGGAAGTTGCTTTTTTTGCACTCCAAACCGTCCTTTTCTTCTCTTAATGAAGCCTATTGATTGCCACTGGTTCTTTATCTCTTTGTTGGTTTGGGTTTGTTGCTTTCCAGACTTTCTTTTTTTTTTTAATTCAAGCCCAATGACGGATCAATTAGCAGTTTTTAATCGGGAGAATGAATTTGTGCAGAATGAGCATGGCTGGAAAGGGACGTCTGTATTTTGCTTGGCAGGGCATGCTTCGGTATATCATGCCTGCTCTTCGAACCGGTCTCCTTTTCCGGCTCCCTCTCATCTGATTTGCCCCTTTTCTTCCAGGATTTGGAGCTCCTTTCCCAGGAGATCGTCCGTCTTAGCAAAGAGTGTGTCCCGTCTCCCAACGCTGAACCAGGCCTGGATGATGCTGTCTGAGCTCAGTGCCACCTGTGATGCCATCCTCCGTGCTTGGCCCTTGGCTGCGCTGCTGGTGTGTGTGTGGGGTGGTGGGGTGGGGAGGGGTAGAGATATTGGAACTTTCCTGCCTCCCCTCTCTCTGGCCGGACCATTTCTTTCAACTGTTATCAGAGGGGGGCAGGCATTTAACCCCGCTACTCTTTTCCCCCTTAGTGGAACACAAAACAGCAGTTTCTCCCTTCATCACTGTTCTACTCGGGCCTTCCCCCAAACAGATTGATTTCTTTCGAATCATGCACCTACTGATTACGCTACCTGCCTCTACGTGGACCTGCCTTTGCTGCCCCGTAGGAAGCCCTGGGCGGCAGTAGCCTGTCTGCAGTTGGCACGTGTTTTTTTTAAAAAAACAAAAACTGCATGGCCAATTGCAGCTTTATTTTTTGAGGTTGCCAGTTTTGAAACTGCCTCCCTCCTTCCAAGGTTGTCATCCCTGGTCCAGAGGAGTTGCCCCATGGAGGAGGAGGAGGAGGAGGAGGTGTTCCTGCCATAATAAAGCTCCATAATCCATTCTCAACGTATAGCGGTCCTGGGAGTAACGTTCAGTTTCCTTAAACGCCTCTCTCCCTGCATTCTTCTCCGCAAGCTGCATTTGTGAGTCTGTAGCTTCTTCTGAGTCATGGTCATACCACCTCCCTCATTTTGCATGTCTGGTCAGTTCTCGCTGTTTCAGATATCTATCTATATCTATCTATCTGTATAGTATTTGCACTGATTCCCTCCCAGCAGGATGGAGCCCAAGGGATACAACCCAAAAGGACTTGTACAGGGTTGCAGCTGTGCCCCCTTTTCCCAGTAATGGAGGTGGAGCTAAGGCAACATGTTTACCTTACTTACAGTGACTTGTACAAGGCTGTAATTGATGATTAACTGATAATGCAAAGAATGGTGGGTTGGGGTTTGTTTGTTTGTTTTGGAGGGGCTTTTACTCTGTGCATGGACATTGCTTTAAAATGGGCTTAAAGATCTGAATTGATGGGTACTATTCTAGTAGACATAAACTGGAGAAGTCTCTCCCCAGGCCATGTCCCATCATCTTCCCGCCCTTTTTCCCAGTCCAGGGTAGGCAAAGGGTAGCCCTGGGCCTAATTTCAAACCAGACATTTCAGAACTGTGGCAGATGTGATGCTGCTCCTTGTTGATAGCTGGCTGGATGGGAAGAAAAAGTAGTACTTGGTGGGGGGGAGAGAGGAGTGAGCTTCCACCCATTTGGGGCTCTGACTTGACCTCAGCCTGGCCCTACGCGTTCATTGCGACCCACCAAAGACTATGCCTAATAAAGACATGCTGATTTACCTCAGTGGGTAAAAGACTGCCCATCCCCTGCCCATCTGGGTCCTCAACCAGATCCAGATACACAATCTCTGCCATCCCCTACTCATTGTAGCTCTTACCTCTGGCCTAGTCCCCTATACGGCTCTGTGGGAAAAAGAGAGGGCCGATGGTGTTTGGGGCTCAGAAAGTGAATCTCTACTTGCTGTTAGAGCATTTCAGAAAAGATTGGGGTCCTGCTTGTTCTGCTGTGTGGCCAGTCCTCGGGACATACTACTCGGTGCTAATCCAGCATTTTGGAGGGTGAGAGGAGAGCTTAGGAAGTAACATTGGGCCTTTCTTTTCTGGAATTGGCAAATTAGACTTTCCTATGGCAGTTTCGCATCCCTGGGTGCTCCATACAAAGGAAGCTTTGATGGTACCAAGGGGGACAGCTGGTGGGGAGGTGAATCCCTCCTTCCCGTAGCCGCAGTAAATGACATGGATTCATTTTGTCAGGATTTATTGAAGAGGAAACTTAGCTTCTATCAGACTTCATTGCAACAAGCAAATCAGTCCAAACACCCAAAGCAATATTTGGCCCAGAATTCTCTCCTTAAATTGGGCCTTTAATTGGAGGGTGGGGGGAAGAAACAATCTGTGATCTTCCTACTGTTGCTCCCAGCATCCCTCACTATTAGATGTACTGGCAGAGGCTGCTGAAAGTTTATTGGTTGTTTGATAATGGAGAAGATCTGGCAATGTGCATGAACGAATCACACTCAGTCACTCTGCTATAAGAAAATATTAGTTGATTTCACCTCAACGTTTTTCAAATTCACCTTTTTTATATTTATTCAAACATTGGGGGACTAGAGGCCTAAGGCTTAAAGGAACACATAGTTGTTTTCTTATCAGCCAGGTTTTGAATTTGAAACCCAAGACCAGGGCTATGAAGCAAAAGCCTTCGACTGCGTGGATGATCAGGCCCTAACTCCATCCTTACGCTGTTGGTTTTAGAAAAAACATTTTGCTCTCAGCTTTCTCTTCCACTTGCCAGATTACAAATGAACGACTCAAGAAAGTAGCAATTTAGGGAGAAGGAAAGAGGTTGCACAAAGCTGTATATCCTTGACTGGAGATTTTATTTTATTTTTTGAAATTATAGCAATTCTCAATGCTTCTGGGTTTTATAGAATCTCTGCTCAAGCTGGACTGCTGAAACAAAAAGAGCCATTTTCTGAATGAACTAAAAATATATCCTCCTACCTTCCTATGTACTCACAACCCAAGTGCAACTTGTCCTTAAAGTACAGGTGGCAGTCCTCTGTTAACAACTGTCCTGTTTAACAACTGTTTAAAACTACGATGGTTCTAGAAAAGTAATTTTATGACATAGCAATGGCATTGAAAAGTAACTTTATGACTAGTCCGCAAACTTATGACAGAGTGACTTATGAGTGTTGCAGCACCTCCCCCCCACACACATACACAGTCACAGGATCGCAATTTGGGTTCTTTGCAATCGGGGCATTTATAATTGTTGCAGTAGCCCACTGTCACATGATAGCCATTTTGATACATAGGCAGAAAGACACACACACACACACACATATGTTACATTTTAAACAGTTATAAGCTAAAATACAAACTAAAATAGAGTGAAAGAGAAAACTAAAGAAAAATTTAAAATGTAAAAAGAAAAAGAGTTAACAGAAAAAATAGAAAAGAAAGCGAAGTGATATAGAGTGGCTTCCAATATTCTTTATAGCAGTGTAACGACAATTATAAATTGACCTCTAAAGTTAAATCACAGTTCTTATATCTAATCATAAAACTATAAATTATAAGCTTATTTTTTTCTTCTTTACACAAAAAAGGCCATAACGGGTTTCCATTCACCAATAAATGTAGATATTGTCTTTTCTCTAATCAAACAATTCAGTTTGGCCATTTCAACAAATCATGTCATTTTTATCTACCATTCCTCTGTCCTAGGCCTTGCCAATTATTTAAATTTTTGTAACACAATAGTCTTGCTGCAGTTATCATATATAAAAACAATGTTCCATGCCTTTTTCCCAACTGCTTCCCCCTCAGTCCCAAGAGGAAAAGTTCCGATTTCAGCTGAATGCTAATCTTTGAAATGTTCTGAATTGCCGTCTTTGAACCCAACATTTTCTAGCTTTTTTGCACGTCTACCAAACAAAGATAAGGTAACCCTCCTTACATCCGCGTTTCCAATGTAAATTTGAAATATCTTTATACATTCTGACAAACGACATCAGTGGAGAAGATAGTGGTGAACTCACAAGTCACATGATGTCTCACTTAACAAGCATGTCACTGACCAGAGTTGCCAATCCCATTTAGTATGGTCATTAAATTAATCTGTATATTTCAGGCTCTTTTCTGCCATAAATGTTGGTTTTCAGATGATGAAATTGAGAAGCCTGAATTTCTCTGATAAATGTTTCCTAGTCTTTTTTTTCCCCCCATTGCTTACAACGCCCCCGAGTAGCTAAATAAAACTGGGTCTTTGATCTGGGGGAAACAACAACAATGAAATATTTATCCATGCATCAGGAACTCAGTGACATTCCAATGAGTGGGTGTTGCCAGCTGCGGTGAAGATGCAAATTGTAGTCATCAGTCGTGGTTGCATGCTTTTCCCTCCTGCTAATGGCCCCCCTCCCCATGTAACTATTGGGGTCTGATTAAAATAGAGATGCACATATAAATAGTTTTTCCCTAACATTCTCTGTTGTCATGCTCTTTTTAAAACAATATGAAGATTCTATAATAGCAAAAAAAAACCCAAACAAACCCCAACTTTGGGTTAAGGAGGCTATGCAGGGGGAGATGAATCCATTTTCCACGATTCTCACACTGAATTCTGTGAGACAGAAAAAGAATTGCTGCTCACTTCTAGGAGAAATGAAAGACGGTATCCTTGGAGCAAAATTGCACACGGATAGTATATGACACTGATAGTAACTTTGGCCTTAGAACGATGTAATTGGTAATGGCATTGCTGGCTGCTTGGCAGAAGCATTTTTCATCGTCCTACTCATCCTTCCTTATATCTCCTCAAGTCCTGAATTCACTGAGTGGTTTTCCACTAAGCACTCTGACATCCTACCCCTTTTCCCACTTTTGCCTTAATAATGGGGACAATAAGTCCTATCCATCAGGAAGGTTGTAATAAGGATAAGGTTGTAAGGATTTCAGCAGAAGATTCTTTGTGGCATACAAGAACTTGGAATGTGGTGAATGTCAAAATGTGTTACCGAATGCCTTCTATAATCTTGACTCTGTCCAAAAAAGCTCTATGAGTGAAGGAAGTAGCTGATGCATGCTGAAATATATAAGCAGAGCCATCCACAGAAACGAGAAGCACCATCAGTTCTTGTTCTCGACACTAATGAATCCAAAAATGCAATGATGTCCTACTTCATCGGACACAATTTTCACCCAGCTCTTACTCTGCACAGTAAATGAGGAAGAAGGCAGGAGAAAGGTGCCGCAATAAATGGATAAAAGGACTCACAGGCTCTGCACAGGGAGACTCAAAACTAGGGCAGGTGCTTGGTAAACACTGATGAGTCTTAATTTACAAAAACATGCCCATTTTGATATAACCACAGATTTCAGCAGTCTGAGGTCTAGTGGGAAACTGTATACTGTATTTAAATTCTCTCTTTTTTTTTCTTTTTAAGCCCAGTGGTAAACTAAAGTTAAAATAGCAACATCCCACACCACCCACTTGTCCTAGTGAGCATTAGTAAACATGTAAACAGTATGATCCAATCTTAATATTTCAGGTGGGTGGTTACTTTTATAGCAAATTCACACACCAATCAGGCTGAACTCAAAGGATCCTGCTGATTAGCATGTTCTGCTCTCATCCACCACCAGTGCCTTTTATCAGGAGTTTCATCTGCAGTTTAGTTTAAGTGCCATGAAAGCCTTCATCTGATAATGTGGGCAGAGGAGACAGTAAAAGTTGGCACTGCTATTCATCTGAAATGCTTTATTTTTTTCTCAGCCTGCATTTTTAACAGAATAGCAATAGCACTTAGACTTATAAACCACTTCACAGTTCTTTGCAGTTCTCTCTAAGTGGTTTTACACAGTCGGCATATTTCCCCCAACAATCTGGGTCCTCATTTTACCCACCTCAGAAGGATGGATGCCTCAGTCAGGATCGAACTCATGGCAGTGGGCAGAGTTAGGTTGCAATACGGCATTCTAACCACAGCGCTGCCAGAACAGAACGTGAAATTGGTATGTCTTCTTTCTGCAGAGAAAATTAATGCTTAATTTCTATGCATCGGGTGGCTGTACAAAAGGTATTGCCCTAAAGAAGCAACACCGTAGATAACAAGTTCCCATCAGTCAGGAATCCAAGGAGGAGGGAAAATGCACTAACTAGACCAGGGGTGTCAAACTCGCATCGTCGATTTTTTTTCCCCTTCGCTAAACCGGGTGTGGGCATGACAACTGTGTGATGCATCTGGGCCGCGGCATGCGAGTTTGATAGCCCTGAACTAGATAGAAACTAACAGATGAAGCTTTTCCTAACACAGACA